TTAAAAACAAAAATGCTTTTGTCCTAAAATCACAGGAGTGGACTATTTGTCACAAACTGTGACAGACAATGCATTTCCATTTCTAAAGGGACAGAACTTACAACATTGTGGCTGAGTGGAAAGCACCCAGTCATGGGTTCCAGCCCCAGTTGGAATAGGGCCTTTCTGAGTGGAGTTTGCATGTTCTCCCCGTGTCTGCACATGCGCTATATAAATAAACATGACTTATTTACTTACTTACAACATTGGATACAAATAATACAAATAAGTGTACAGTTTTAATGTACCATGAAATGTATAATAGAGTTATATATATCCTTAAGGATTCCAAACGAGATAAACATGTCATGCATAGATTCATATTTTATAGATTTCTCATTGATACAAACAGTCCTCACGATTCAGACTCCTTTGTTTAAATTTTTTCATGAAAAGCAGTTATTCCTGTGCAGGGCGATGCTTGGAGTGCTCACACCTAAATGTGGAAGGTTGAGGAGATCAGCCATCAAGAGCCGCAGACGCTGGCTCTGTTTGAACCCAGACTGCACACACAACTTCAATTATTCAAGTCTGTGAAAAGCAGGGCAGGTGAAGTGTGTGTGACTTAAGGCTGAAAATGTTTTCTACTCACACTGAGATTTACACAACTTTCCTTTTTACCATTCTTTGTCGAAATAACAATTCACCTCCAAGTCAACATCCTCACCTGCTTCTGCATCCAAGAGAGTGTTCCCTTCAGATCAAGTGCTGGATCCCTGATGACTAAATCTTGTTACATATGCATAAGTTCTTTTAATATTAATAGACACATTGATGTCAGCTTTTTAATATTCAGAGTGAGGAAGCGACAGAAGACTAGAGGGCGCCATAGGTCAATCACAATGTACTGTAGACAGAGGGAAGTTTCAGTCCATCAGGCTATTGCTCTTTCATTATGTAAGCACTGCTGTATTAATTGGAACTGCTTATACGTGTCATCATCTGCCCGCCGGGTAGCACTATTGCATGTGGCACTGAACTCTCGCTCACAGCAGCTGAGGCCTTCTTTCTTCTGTCCATCAAACACAGCTATAAACAACTGATCGATGAATTTTAGACCCCAGGTGTATTGACTGTGTGTGTGTCTGTCCATAGAACTTTACAATGATAAAAGGATAATGTGAAGTTATTATAATATGTCAAGGATAACTCATACATACATAAGCCACACGCTTCTGTAGATATGTTCTATACTATTTTTAGAATTCTAGAAAGCACAACACTGTAGTTTATGTAACTTCAAGCTCCACATTTAGAAGAATTATGTTGAAAAGCTTGTGACTATATCACTGACTGTTTTACATTCAGATTCTATATTCACTTTTTTGTGTTGCAAAGGTCTATATACGTTTGTCTGTGAAGAATCTGATGGTCTTAATGAATGTACGTTTTGTCTACGTGGCCTTATTATTTTCATAGATCAACAAAACGTATTAAATCATCACATACGTATGCAAGTAAGAATTTACCTTTTCTTTTTTGCAGCATCAAAGAATTTCTTCTCTAAACTTGCTGGCATCCCATTGCCAGTCTCTGCTCTTCCCTTTCTCTCCTTTTCTGCAGCTCTCATGTCAGAAGTGTCAGTCAGTCAGGGTCTTAGCAAATCAAAGTGTGTCTGTCTTCGCCATTGCATGAGTGCAGGGTTTGTGTGCCGCTCTATCTAGTGCAGCCAGCCTAAGTATTAATCTGACGTGCTTGGGTGACGTTCCTTAGTTGAAACTTTGCATGACTCCATGACAATCTCGGCTTAGGCTGAAAGAAAGGGCAAACGTGTGTATGTGTGTGCGTGCGTGTGTATGTGTGTGCGGGTGTGTGAAAAGGGGGAAAACAGACCCCAAATGCAAAGAGACAGAAGCAGAGAGTGAGTGGCAGAAAGCTTGAAAGTGAGGCAGAGGACAAGAAGAATATTAAGTATGTATGTGGGAACTACAGAGAGCCTTTGAATTTACATTTGGCTTTTGGATGGACATTCAATACCTGGCCAATTGCAGGAGTGTAGATAGTAATGATAATAACAATGATATTTGTATGTGCCACGTTTATTTGGGAGTTTATTTGGGAGCAGCTTTTTACCATCTAAAAAACATTGCCAGGATCAAAAACATAGTGTCTAAAGCAGACTTGGAGATTCTTATCCATGCATGAACTCCAGTAGGTTAGACTACTGCAATGGCCTGCTCACAGGTCTGTCCAAACAGGCTGTAAAACAGCTGCAGTACATTCAAAATGCAGCAGCTCGAGTCCTGACTAGAACCAGGAAGTACGACCACATTAGTCCAGTTCTCAGGTCTCTGCACTGGCTTCCTGTGGCTCAGAGAATAGACTTTAAAACAGCTCTGCTTGTGTACAAGTCTCTCCATGGCCTCGCACCAAAATATATTAGTGACATGTTAGTCCCATATGAACCAGCCCGGACTCTGAGGAGCACAGGGACTGGACTCCTGTTAGTGCCCAGAGTCAGAACTAAACATGGGGAGGCTGCTTTTCAGATTCATGCTGCTAAAATCTGGAACAGTCTTCCTGAAGATGTGAGACAGGCCTCCTCGCTGACAATGTTTAAAACCAGGTTAAAGACAGTTCTGTTTAACTGTGCATACAACTGAGGGATTTTATATTTGTATCTTTCTTTTTAATGTTCTGTGATTATTTATGATTTTAATGCTTTCCTTGCCTTGTGTATGAATTGTGCTATACAAATAAACTTGCCTTGCCTTGCCTTGCCAATCTTTTAAAAAATACATGAATTCAGAGGCTTTGTTTGTGTTGGTTAAACATATAGTGATGAGGCAGTTTAAAGTAATGTTCTATGGCTGATGCTTTCTGGAGGTGCAATAATCTTGTCCACACCTGCATAATGATGAGCGCCATTGCCCGGCTGGTCAGTGGGGTAACGATGGAGCCTCATGACTCCACTGCTTGGACTAAGGCAGTAGACCGGCTTTAATTGCTCCCTAATGCATCCGCTCATGTTTTCAAATATGTCGCAGCTTTTCATCACTCGCCTTTAGTATAATCACATAATTATGTTAAAAGTCAAACTTCAATATTCCATTCAGCAGGAAACTTGCTCCATTTTGTAATATGCTATACTTTTATTGTTCATATAACCGTGTTTCCCTTTAGCTTACATCTACATTAGTTATTTATGATGTTGAAAAATCCATAATTCTTCAAATGAGAATCACACATAGGACCATTGCTCTGGTCTCGCTCACGTACGAGCTTAGCATGTGTTGGTGAAGGTGTGTTTCCTGAATACAAAAGGTGTTTCCTCAGTCAGTCATGTTGTGAATGAGCCTCGCTCCAGGCTTGATCAGATCACAAATTGAAAAACATCTGTGTATGAATTTTGCTGGTGTCTCTGGGCAGAGTGTGTTGATAACAGCCCACTGGTCGCAAGCAGGAAATGAAAATTTAAATCTTATCATTTACTTAGCTTTGTTCATTGTAGTCCAGTGCTGCATACAATTGGACTAGACAAGTTGGGATTAAATATGAATGAAGAGTAAGAAAAAATTAGGTCAGATGAGACACAAGTTTGTATGGCCATTGTAAAAAAGCTATAAAGTGGTCCTCAAAAAGAAATGGATTTCAATATTTTAAAGCATTTAAACATATCTTGAAGCTGTCAGGGACATGCTGAATGAATATATAAATGTATGGTTATAAAAAATGTAAGTATTACAATTAGAATTGTTGAATTCCAGAGAAGTAACGTTTTTCGGAAATTGATTTCACACTGGGCTCCCTAAAAACAATCGGCCAAGTCATTGAGAGGCGTGTAGGGCAGAGTATTGGGCTCAAAAAGATTCTCACAGATATACCATGATAGACTGTGTAACGGACAGTGGGTTGTGAATTTAAACAACACAGAAACAGCAGATTTTTTTAACATAAGAATTTCAAACTGTCTGATATATTACAGTAACACAATTCTGCTGAGCTGGTTGCCTCCTCCGTTTCCTCCTTTTTCAAAGATGTAAATGTGTTCAATGGTTTAGATTTTAAACATGCATGTAAACTATAATGACAATGTGAGTGACGATGTGTCTTTGTGAGTGCAATTGAATAAAAATAAGAAGATAAGAAAAAACACATACAATAAGTCGGTTTACACACAAAATACGTTCCTGACTCATTCAACAAAAAGGTAGTTTAAGAGCAAGGCAGATCCTCTGTTCATTCACCTGCTTCATGTCCAGTGGAGGGTCCAGAGTCCACAGTCCACCCTCAACATCATGCAGCACATGCAGTTTCCCAGCTATAGTGCACCACAGTAGACCTACTCAGACTAAGGCCAGAGGGACAACCTGCAGGCCTCATCTAAAGCTGGATTTGTCACAGTATACTGGCACAGGGAGTGCGCTCAAGCTTTGGATACAAAAGAGATTTTGATGATATAGCAAAAACTCTGTTTACTCCAATGAGAAACAGCAAACAATGTTCTTTCAATAATTGTTGCATATGTATGAGACTTTTGGAGTGGCTTGACTGTTTACAACATGTTTGCAGTCCATTTTCTTGTTGTGAAAAATATATTTCCTCCAGTTTCTCTGATTAGCTGCTTCTTAATGTATAAAACGTGTGGAAAATGTCTGGTTATATAGGAAGTGAAATAACTATGTGGGTAAACTAGCAAAACATTTGGCAAAAACTTTAAACCTTTTACTAATTGTATTCATATACTATTCATAGAGAACAATTCAACGTAACATAAAAAAAAAAAAAAACATGAATTATTTTAGTCTGGCTTGGGTATGCTTATTCTAGCTTTCACTTCCCAGCTTATAAAGTGAACCAGTCCTTTAAATGCTGAGTGATACAAATATTCATCATCTTTTGAATAACACTATGTCAGCTGGGCAGTGTCCTGCTTGCAGTCATAACAGCTGCTGTAGTGCATTATCAGTATTTACACATGAGCTATTTAAGAGCAAGGCTTTATGTCAGCTCATGTAGGGTTAAGTGATCCGCAGAGCCTTGAGGTTCAGCTCACTGGGAATTGCACTGGCAACCTCAGGGTCACACAGACTGAATCTCTTCCTGGTCCTCCTAAACGATGTAGATAACGAGGCCGTTGAGAGTCGATGAGTGTGTAGATTATCATAAATTTGCATAAATTAGGAAGGCAATTAATATTCTGTTCAATCTGTTTAGAAGTCATCTGACTCTTCAGTGGAAAAGCCAGTGAGAAAGCCAAACAGGAAACCAATGCAGTTGTGTTAGAAGGAAGATACAGTGACTTTATAGTTCAAGTTTTCTTCAATGCATAGGACACAAATGTGCTTCCAGCTTTCAGCCCAAATAAACGTAAATATTTCAGAAAAAGGGGTTTCTGCATAACACTAACTTTTTCAAATAATGAACTTTTAATTGTTAAAATAAATTGATTAATTCTTTGTTGACCATGGAAATGGACGTCATCAAAGCAGGGGCACAACTACCCTTTTTCTGGGGGGTATACAACTTTTTTCTATTCCCAAACAAGAGTTTTCTGAAGTGAGTGGCTGGCTACCTCAAATCCTAACCAACAAACACTTATGGGCCAATTTTTATTTCCCATAGCTTCGAAGTAAACAATAGTAAGCCTAGGTGTAGTCTACTGTGCAGTTGCAGCTGTAAGACATCAAACCTGTGGTTTTGCTGTTTAAGCAAAACCACAGCTCTGGGATGGCCAAATAAGCACATACACACTGCTTTTCAGCCACTTTGAAAAACGTTTTTTCATCCCAACACATTATATTTCTCTCTCAATTTTTCGATTTTGGTTTTGTTGGATTTTTTTCTGTTTCTCCATCTCGAGATGATTTTGCTGTTGTTGCATGTTATGGCGGCCTGTCAAAGCAGGGGACGCTGTTGACTCTGGGGCACGGTCAAGTGCGCCGCTGAACCAACTAGGAGGTTGTGATTGGGCACTCTCCTTTGTGCTCAAACAAGATTATATTTAGTTCCTTCGAGCATTTTGTCGCTCCCTGTTCTTTGGTGCCTTTTGGTGCATATGCCCTTTTTATGCCACTGCGTCGAAACGACCAATGTTGATTACCCTATCTTCTTGAATGTAAAATGTGTGTTCTCATTTGTAATTTATAGCACTCATGAGCAGCAGAGCCTTGAACAGAGTTAACCAAATATGTTCTAGAAAGGAAGTTTACTCTTCATTGATATAAACTAAGTGTGACTGTATGATCCTCTGTAAAACAACAAGAGCTGTTGTTGGGATTTCAGCCTCTTATGGAAGAATACGAATCACGTTTTTAATTCTATATACATATTTAATGTTTAATGTAAAAACTGGGTCTGCTATTGCTCAAACATGGAGCTGTGTGCTTACACATTTATGATAAAAAGCGGCAATAGTTTTTTCTAGCAGAAAGCCATCCCATGAATGGACATTGTTGTTGATGTTGTTTTTGTGGTTCCACTTTGTGAAATAAAAACACAAACACTCATATTTTTTTCTTTTTTGTAAATATGTTTTTGTTTTGTGTTTTTCATTGAATGTGTAAGTAGAGATTTGTTGGTAAAACAAAGATGTAGAGTGCCTCTCACACTAATCTGTATTGAAAAATGCAGCGATTATAAAGTGTTCTTGTAATCTTTCAATCTTGCATTACCATTGTGTCCTGTATTACATTATTTTCTGTGTAACATCCACCATTTCCCAAGAGCAATAAAGCTGATTAATCAATACAACATGGCGCTGAACACTGTCACGAGCTATGGGCTAGCCTCACGGTTTCGTCTAAATGAGTTCCCCTTTCCTCATCCCTCTCACACACAGCCCTGTGCACACATACACACGACTCAGTGTGAAAAAGCACTGTAGGAAGACGAATAACAGAGCAACATCATTTAAAGGAGTTGCACTGCACATTCATCATCAGCCAAGCTACAGTTTACCCTGTTAGAACCAGAGGTGCTGTTAATGAAGGCCACTGCTTGCTTTATTAAAAATGGTATTGCTTTCAACAAAAACAGACAGCTCGCCAAAGCGGAATACAATTATTTAAACGGTCATCCTTCACCTTTATTGTTACCTATTCAAAAATCAAACAAGAAATGCATCTCCATTAAAATGGTTTCCACCTCCTCAGACACACATTGACATGTCATCCTTGCCAGACATACAAGGCGAGCATGTCTTAAGTGCTTCTAAATCATAATTATCTTTGTGTATTGAGGATCTTCTTATCTACTGCCCAGAATATGGGGAATATGCCAAGCAGGTTCTTTGTTTCAAGTCTGTGAAAAGTTTTTATTATTTTTTTTTTTATTATTATTTTTTAGTTTTGCATTAACAAACAAACAAACACATTTTAAGCCTGTTCCTTTTGCTGATGTCACCTCTATACCAATCATGTTGAAAATAAAGACTAAAACTTTGGCTGCATACACCCTTATTTGTATTTCTTCTAATCCTAAGGGAGTCAATAGTTGCGATGGACTTTAGAGATAGTTATTAAAGTTATCTAACGCACTATAGTTCTATGAGTTATGGCGTAGTGCCTGCACAGGGCTTTGCCAGTGGCTTATTATTTGCGGCTCTGCTTGCACCTGAGAGAAAGCTCCAGTCATTAGCCAACACTCGCTACAACTAGCCGCGAACCACGCTTATTTGCAATCTTTCATCTTTCTCAGAGGTAAAGGGGCAACACATTACATTAGATAAATATTAATTACCTAATGTAACTGTAGTTCTACGAATAAGTGCGTAGCCCCTTAGGGCTATGGGTATGACTCTTGAGGCACCTAACCTCCGCCAGAGAGATCGGAGATCCAATGCTCCAATCACGAGCAAGCTCTTCCTATAAATAGCCCCGCTTAGGCCTGTACTGCCACTTTGAACTCAGCCAAAGCCAGGCTGGCCTGATGGGCCCGTAGCTCAGGGGCTACGCACTTATTCGTATAACTACAGTTACATTAGGTAACTAATATTTCTACGCCATAGTGCTACGCCCCTTAGGGCTACACTATGGGTACCCACGCGTAGGCCGTAGAAAAAATGTACTCCCATCAGGCCAGCGTAGAGTGAATGGAGCCCTGCCCGAGTCACCCAACACCTCTCAGGTGAACGGACTCAGGCAGAAACGGAAATATCAGTATTAGGGCCGCACCCAACAAGGATGCCCACCACACACTGTAACACACACAGCCCCAGGGTAACCCCAAGGGCAGGCCATAACCCAGGACGCCTCTAACAAGAGCTCCTGAACGGGAACGGCGAACACACAGTGGACTGCAGGCCGCCTCTAGCAAGAGCACCTATCGGTCCCAATACATCAGTCCACAGCGCTCAAAACAGAATGAGCGACTGACCGGTCTGACACGTACATAAGATAAGACTGGACAAAAGGAAAAGACCAAGACCAAGACGCCGCCTGGCAGACGTCTTCCACCGAGGCCCCCCGAAGCAAGGTTGTGGAGGCCGCAATACCCCGAGTGGAGTGAGCCCTGAACCCCAGGGGTCAGCCCCTGAGCCTGGTACGCCATGCGGACCGCCAGGGCAACCCAAAGCGCCAAACGCTGGGACGAGAGAGGAGCGCCACTGTTCTTAGGACCGTTGCATAAAAACAACTGATCTGAGCGTCTGAAGGAGGATGTCATATCCAAATAACGCCTCAGCATCCTGACCGGGCACAAGAGGTGCCGCCATGCCTCCTCAGTCAAAGCATGAAGCGGTGGAAAGAAAGGCCTGACCCTGATGACTCTAGACCTAAAAGCCGACGTAACGACCTTAGGGAGAAAGGCTTGATTGGGCCATAACTCAACCAATCCATCGCCTGCGCCAAATGACAGGTCAAGGATGGGGCGCACTCCACCGGTCTTCTTTGGGACCAAGACATACGGGAGTAGAGGCCCCTGGAGGCGTCTCGTGGGTTAACTTCCAACGCGGCGCCTCGCCTCAGAAGGGAGGAGACCTCCAGCTGGAGCGCCTCCTTTGATCCATGCACCATAGAGTGAGCCGCGCAGATGCCCTGGAACGGGGGAGGCATCCGTGCAAACTGCAGGGCCTAACCCCTGCGCAGCGTCCTGTCCAGCCACGCGTCTGAGAGCACCAGGCCCGGAGCACTTGTCTCGAGAACCCCGCCCCACTCCCGGTACTCCCAGGGTAGAGGGGGGGTTGACAAAAGGGCAAGGAAAACCCGTGTTTGACCGTGAGCAAGACGGCGGGGGTCCCATACCCCGCCGTGACTCGCGGACTAGTCTCCCCCACACTCTTGCTCTTAACACCTCTCCGGGAGGGTAAGGCGCTAGCAACCACGAGGTAGAACTCGTTGGCTCCCTGCTCAGGCCTGAATGAAGTGGAGCCTTCACTCTGGATCCCTGCAGGGGCAGCCCCCTGCACCGCGCTCTGACGCGCCTGCGTGAGAGAGCGTTGGAGCGTGCCAACTGCGCTCGGGGCCCTGGCCCTGGCCTGGCACCGAAGCATTAGCCTGGACAGAACGCCGCAAGTCTCCCTTGTGAGACCGCAGGATTCCAAGGCTAGTCAGGCGGGGTTGGAGTGAGCGTGAGACTCTACCTTCCACCTGTGAATGCATATCATCCAACAATAAAGGAGAAGGGGGTAACGGGCCGTAAAACGGCCTTTATTAAAATTTCCCCTGCTCCCCCGTCGTCCTCTGGCGAAAGGAGGGCGGCGTTGAGAGCGCTGCTCCTGAGACCGCTCACTCATCCGTTCCGGAACAGGTGGCCTCGCAGGAGGATGGCGAGCTGGGAGACCACTCTCTGCACCCCCCGCTCGAAGCTCCGCAGGAGAGAGAGGCACGCTCGGCAGTCATTGCTGGTTGTAGAGTAAGTACTTGATCTCTCAGCGCCAGAGTTCAAAGTGGCAGTGCAGGCCTGAGCGGGTTCTCTTTATAGGAGGAGCTCGCTCGTGATTGGAGCATTGGATCTCCGATCTCTCTGGCGAAGGCTAGTCGCCTCAAGAGTCATACCCATAGCGTAGCACTATGACGTAGAACCTAGATTTCAACATTGTTAATACTCTGGCTAACTAAATACGCAAAGGCGGTAAAAGTATATTAAAAAGTGCAATGGGTCAAGAGCACCTGAGTTCCACAGACAATGACAATGAATTAGAAACCCACTCTGATGAAACGTTCAGTTGAAAGGATCAAACTTGACCGGGAGGCGAACAGGCACCGACCCACCCCACCTTGTTGCTGCAGCCGCCCCTGTGCCTGAACCAGATGCAACCCTTGGCTTACACATTGAGCTAACTATTGGGTCAAAAGATGGTTTCCTTTCCTTCCTTTGGACCAAGATAAAAAAATTACTGATCCAAAAATCTGAACACGACTGTGTGGTCCAATTAAAAGCATAACAGGGAGACACAGCAGAGGCTCAAGTGTCAAAGCGGTGCAGGAAATGCCGGATGAAGTATACTTCTATGGAAAATAAGCTGCGGGCCGCAAAAAAACGTTTGGTGGGCAGGACCTGGCCCCTGGCACCATACTTGGGCAAGACAAGACATATTAATGTCATGTATTCAAAATATAAAAGATCACGTGAAGCATTTCAAAGGCACAGAAAAGTTGACAATGTATTGGTCCTTGAGAGAATTGCAACACATACATAGTCTATCGATAAGTTATGTAAATGGTAGAAGGATAACATTTTTGGAGTTGTTTGGCAGTACCAAATGATGTGGATATAAAAGGGAAGTGGAAATAAGCGATCAGCAGTCAGATGGATCCCTTTGAGATGGCATAGACACAGCTTATTTAGTGCCGCACAAAGTGCAGGTAAAGCATTGTGAGTGCAGGAGAGCATGTTAATACATAGAGGCACTTTTCAAAGGGGGAGACAGGAAAAAGCAAAGAATAGACAGATGGAAATAGCTTTTTACAGGTTAATATGGATTCAAAGAGAAATGGGATGGAGACAATGAGAAAGGTACTGTGCTTTACAGAGAGCAGTCCACAGATCGAGCACAAAGGGAGTAGCTGCCCTTCAATCCTCCTTTATGATTTTTCCAAAATATATTGGATTTTTCCCCCCAATGGTTGAATTTAGTGCTTTGGTTTAATTGTAGGTTGGTGTGTTTGTGTTATCATACAAGTGTGTAGGTGTGTTGTTGTTCCTATTGCATTCCACATGAAAGTACCTCCTGCCTGTACCAACTGGAGTCAAGCCGTGAACAATAAGAATACTTAATCAGACATCAAATACTTGACATTGAGGCTCACGCACATTATGTACAGACACTTGTTTATATAGTATTCTTAGTTGTAGTATTCATACATCAGACATCAGTGGACATTGGTGGTCATCATGGCAGATGCCCGAGGAACAGCTTAGATTCTGCACCCTTACTCCCAAGGCTCTGAGTCGAGAGGAGTAAGACAGCAATCCAAACACAGTTCTACTCGTAGGTCCTATGCGTCAAAACATTATAAAGTAAGTGCCTTGGACCTACATAATCTTTACTCTGCACTTTATTTCATACTAAAACAATTTCTCTCAAATGTCTCCAAGTACTTTTCTAGTCCTGGATAATATAGGACTAGATGTGTGGATGAGTGGCTCTTGCTCCCTTTGGTCCAAGGTGAATGGTGCGGGTCTCTGGTCTTTGGAATTAATATTGAATATTAAAATATGTGTTAGTATGAGTTGTGCCCTTTAAAACATTTGCAGTCTATGTATAAAAACAGAAATAAAAGTAATCATGTGTTTTTTAGAATGTCTTTACTTAGAGAGTACATTTTAGCATACTCCAAAAATGTATAGTCCTCCTCAAGCCCCGGCGCTCCAAGAGGGGGTCGTATTAAAATGAATGGTTTGTGCTCAGTGGTGCATTGTGCCGGCATGGGCGCCGAAATATTAGCGTAACTCGCCTGGAGCTAGCAAAGATCCATGGGAACTCGCCTGTATTTGGGCATGGTCTGGTCCTCCCGGTTCTGCGCAGTGGATGATCTCCCATGATACGCTGTGCCAAAAGTCTGTGGCTCAGAGAGGCTAGGCCGCTCTCTGACCAATCACAGCTGTTCATCAGAGCGGGAGTTAGAGCGGGAGCCAGACGGCCAGAGTTTGTGGCACTAAAGTGTGGATTTAAAAAAACCCGAAAGATTTAAGAAGAAAAAAGGTTTAGGATGACAAGGGACACTAAAATCCCCTCAAAATCCAATCTTCATGAAAGCTGCAGGTTCTTTGTCTCCTGAGGTCGAGCTGTTTTAGTTTACATTGAGTTCTATGGGGAAAATTTCTGGGTAGCCCACGTGAATTTAGTCTGATTTATTCTGCAGGGAAGAAAATGGATGGATGGATGGATAGTCTGCAGTACCGCGAGAATCCCCCGAGCACATGGGTTCTTCAGCTCCAAGCTAGTAATACCCTATCCAATTATTAAAATAAATCCATGGCCCTCCTCTTGACACCGAATCAACAAAGATTTACATGTTTATAAGAATGTTTCCTTTTTGTATCAAATCTGCATTTTAGGCCATTGCAACCTAACAGTAGTCTATGTTGTACACTCACAGACTCAGCATACTGCTGCCATTAGCAATGACTTATCGGCTAACACCAACACAAAAAGCGCAAGGAACATTAGTTTTATTTGCTCTGTGGCCCCTGAGGACTGGAGGCCTGTGAAATCCCACAATATGGCAGCTCTTAAACATGCCCCGCACGATTCCATTTACCAATATCACTGCGGTGGGATCTCTTCATTTTGAGGGTGGGCTCTAGGGACCCAAATACTTCCAAAACTCCTTTTCTCTGTGGTGCACTTACAAGTTAGAGAATGAAAAACGTTTAAATGCAGTGCAGATAGTACAGTCAAGAATCTGAATCAGACGGAAAATGTGGAGTCTTGTCAAATAAACTTCACGGCAGCACTCTAAAATCATGTGTATATAGAATTTATAAAGATGCTATTCTATTCTGAAATATGAACACTTACAGTATGTCTACCTCTGAAAGAAAGGACTGTTTGACTCCATATGAACAGTCTACACCAAAACATTAAATGCAGGCACAAAAACTGTGAGAAATCTTAGAAAACAAACAAGAAAGTGAGCTTTTTTATATCATATAAACAACATGTAATGGTCATTGGCTGTGATGGAAAAGGTATAAACATACTGTATGTGTATTCTAAATCCCTAAATAAAAGCCCCCTATTCTATGCTTTCTGTTTTTCTTATAACTAAAATGTGTCTGATCCTCCTCTCTTTTCCTGCACAGTTTGGTATTGCGAGGACAATTGTAAAAAATTGTGTTTATTTATAAGGGTCACACCACATTATTTATTCTGATGCAATGTTGGATATCTGTTTGGTCTTTAGGGTTTTTAAAACATGGCAGTTCGATGTTGCTTCATAGTCTAGTGTCATCTTTTATAGTTAAAAAAGAACGACTCCCATAATGCAATGCCTTGTAACCTGACAGTACCAGCATAACTCATTTCCTTCAGCACAGACAGCAGCAAACATGGATCTTATAGGTGAGTAGGTAAGCGAGTACACAAGATTGAAAGTAAAAGGCTTGATCCACAGTGGATGAAGGTTAAAAATAAAGGGTAGACTTTGTAGTGCTGCTTCATAATCTGATTTAGTATCGCTCAAGGGCACTGCATTTAAACAAGTGCAAGTCTGAGGCCCGTGGAGTTTTATTATTGCTGATAATCCACTCCTGTTATCTGTTGTGTCCCTGAAATAAACAGCAAAGTATTGATGTGTATGAGACAAAGGCTGTATACAATATTTGCTCAAGCTCACATAAGTACAGGGCTTTAGTTTTTGTCTTTTGGTGACTTAATTTTAACTTTGATATTTGTGATCACTGTTGAAGTTGTACAATAAAAGGGTGATGTCTGCAGTCCTGTAACACGCTAAACTTGTGATCACATTTAAATCGCAAATCTGTTTAGTTCTATCACTTATTTTCACATTTTGGCCTCACATATTTAACTTGGATTTTCCGTGAAAACCAATCAACTTGCTGTATGTACAAGATAACAGATTTTCTATTATCATGTTCTGGTCATATGTGTTCACAGAATTTTAATAAAACAAGACTATCTGTTGGAACAAATAAAACTATTTATGAAGAGAAAATACAATTTCAGCTTTCTGCATAATGTTATAGTTAGGGGGCCAGAACAAAAGTGTTAGCACACTCCAGAGTTCATATTTAGAGTGATGAACAGACACAGACTAATACGATCACTTCCTTGTTCACCATTAGGTCAGTAAAGACCAAACTATGCATTGTTCAAAGCTTTACAAATACCCAGGACCCTTTGACCCAGCTACCCACATGTTGCTGATGTTTTATAGCTATAATAGCTATCCCTTGATTGAATTTGGAAAAGGGAAGCACTAATAACATAGGAGCTGATGTCTGCCAGTATTTTGTGAAAGTTTAGACTTGTAACACAGCATTCAACATTCTCCCTTAAGAAGTACATCATAACAACTGGTTTAC